AAACACAAGTGCAATTATTTTTTGGGTGCTTTATGTTTATTGTGCACAATATTTGATATTTACCTGTATTTTGTCACAATAAACATTAATATTATTATTATTATTATTATTATATCGTATCTTATGAACTAGCAAACGAGTACGTAGTCGAGAACCTTCTAATTCGTAAAATCTTTGCAACTATAACTTACAACGAAAAAACAAGGTCGTAACCAGTTAACCTGTATATTCCGTAAACACAGAGAATTGACTGACGCGCGTGTTGAGAAAGTCTCCGTCTAGTGGGGTCGTGCGCGTGTACAGCGACAGGCCACAGACACATTAAGGCAAATGCCAGGCGAAGGAGCCTCAGAGGCGCGTCAACTGAACTTAGCTTTATATGCATTTATGGATGCAAATATATTCTGTCCATCCAGCCTCGTAGTCCTATTCCCGTCCTTTATGCTTGGATATATTGGGCTGCTTCAAAACAACCGGGTGATGTTTGCGAGGACGATGGATCCTTTTCTCGAACGAACACTTTTAGTTTACTGCCTGCTTCATGACTACTTTATGTTTCTATATATCTTTGTTGTTTCCTTTCCCAAGTTTCTAGACTCATTTATCCTAATTCTTCTCTCCTGCTTCACGTCCTTTTAGTTGTCTGGAACAAATTGGTGTTGAGAACTGTCTGGGTGTCGACATATCTTTAGCTACAGTACCCTCGCCACTTTTTCTGTTACGAGTAAGACGGAATGTAATTTGATTAAGTAACGGAAAGTGAAATATTGGACTAACGGAAAGTTAAATATTGGACATTATTGTTTTCAATGCAATGTGGCTTGACCCGGTAGAGGTTAGCTTAGGTTAAGTTTCTTGTAAGTGCATCAATAACAATCCTCCACTGCGACTCATTGGTCTATTGTGGTTCACATCTGTTTATATTTCCTCCAGTGGCTCCGATCTCCTGAGGAAGTCGATTAACTTGTTTGGAGAAATGTCCTTCGGGTCTTCTGCTTGAAGTACTACGTCTCCAAGTATGTTGCACCTGATTCTGACAATTACAGGGCATCTGCACAACACATGCCCGACCAGGGGAAGGGGTAATTACCCGCCCCCAGACGACTCGAGCAGTCTCTGAAAAGGTGGTATAAAGTAAACTTCTTATAAGAAAAATCTGTAACTTTAAGACAGGATAGTGGAAACACTGCCAACCCGCTCAGTGCGAATGCGACTAGCGACTACTCTCCCACCAACAACAAAGGTGTGCGCCTCTTTCTGTTGGAACAGGTATAGTCTAGTCTTTTGTGGTTTAGTCTAGTGTCTAAATTCTGAACCAGTCCGGAATCCGCAACAAAATTTGGCTGAGAAGTGAACAAGCGAAATTTTGTTGACCTGGTTGGTATTAACGCTATTTTCTATGTTCTATTGACGCATAAGCCAGCAAATTAATTTTGGTTTGTTTTCAATTTTTATACTATGAAAGAATCGTGTCTAAATAAATGACAGAAGGAAAAATGGAAATTTAATATAATTTCAATTACGAAGTGTTTGGTCCATACTCCAGCTATCATCATCGTCTATGTCTATTTTGTCTCGGAAGTCCCTGTATATAAGCACTTCAGTGCATTTCGTTGTTCCGAGAGGGAAAATTATATATTCAGTTTTTGAAAATTGTGTAAACTTAAGAAATCTTGTTCTTTTCTTATGACATACGTGGATGCGTTGAAACCAATAATGCCATTTGTGTAAATTTTAGTGCTGGTTGACGGCTGCTGTTGTCAGGATGAGTAAAAGGAAACAGAATACCACTGATTGGTTCCTTTCTAAACAAAACAAACTGTCCACTGGGACAAGAATTACCGGAAAATCCTACAAATCCACCTGAGCCTTCCATATCAAAATTTCTTGATGTTGCGTCGTATGCTGAACCAGGTGTTGAACAATCTGGTGTGACACCTAAAGGATTCTATTTTGTTGATGTTGCGCCATACGTAAATTTCAGCGGCAACTTGTCTTCCCATAAAAAATATACCTTATTGAGGTGTGCAATAATCCCTAATGACCCTTTCAAATATCCCTATTCCACACGCTTGACAAATAATAAAGACGTGAAATGTTACTTATCAAAAAAACACTTTGAGAAATGTCCTTAGCTGTCATATTCAGAGGCACTGCAAGGACTTTTCTGTAAATATTGCGAGGTTTTTGCAAAATTAGGAGGAGTACATAAATCAACTAAATTGGGAAATTTTCGAAATTGTATGGCAAAACCGGTGATTGTGAGACACATGAGAACTCAATATATAAGAAATATAATAGGTTCAGAGCGAATTAAGCAAGTATCAGAAAATCGGCAAAGATTGACCCCTATAATAGAATCTATAATTTTTTTAGGACGCCAAAGTATACCACTTTGAGGGCATAGAGATAGGGGGCGACTTTTTTCTAATCACAGCACGAATGACGGGGATGTCCTTAATAATAAATGGAATTTAAGAGAACTAATACGGTTCAGAGAAATCAAAAGCACATGTTACGTATAGTCAACGCCAAACAAAGTGGCGTGCACGTCATCACGATAAAAATTCCCCGACCTAATGCCTAGGTTTCTATCACAAACAATTGCTCTATTGCAGTTTCATATTAATGTGATATATAAATTGTAAAATGGTCATTACTCTCTTATTATGGTTAATAGTCATATAAACATTGTTATTAAAATATCACATAAGTTGCTTTCTGATAAATTTAAACGCATTATGCGAAATAAAATGTTTTGCAAACGCTGCAATCACTTATCGACATGTAAACGCACTAAACCGGTTTCGCAGCGTTGACACATTGTCACCTTGAAACTTATTTAAACTGGAAACTGACATTTGTATTAATTTTGACACTGAATCAATTTGTGGCATTTCAAATCTTTATAAATCCTTTGGCCCCGCATACTGTAAATCAACAACTGTTTGTTTCAAAACAAAATTATTCATTTTACGAGTAGATAAAGGCAATTTTGGTATATAAAGATGCCCAAACAGTTAAATAGTCGGTGTAAGGAACTCGTGGCCTCGTTAATGCACTACTTTGAGCAAGAAAGGGACAACAACGGGCCTTTGTTGCCTTTAAATGCTGTTCAAGAGGTAGGTTACTAATAATTATATGTAGTGTATATTAATAATAGTGAAATTTTATTTCATTTTTTGTAGCGTGTTGCTGCTGCTTTAAAAATTAGTTTAAAGACAGTTAGTCGTATTTCCGAGGGTGTGAAAAGTGATGCAAATTTAGAATCGCCCAAGAAAAAGCGGAGTTATATTAAACGTGTAACCAACACAGCGACATTGGATACAAGTGCCATTCGAGAAGTGATCTATAATATGTATCACAAAAGTAAGATCTTATTATAATAACTTATCAGAAATTTGCATTAATTTGTTAACTAAATTATAATGTCATATTACACATGGTTTCAGAAGAACAAGTTACGATACAAACTTTATGGTCTCGATTAAGAGATAGGGCATTATTTGATGGTAGTGCCACGTCTTTAAGGCGGTTGCTTAGAGATCTTGGATTTAAGTGGCTTAAGGACAATCCGCGATGAGGGCTCATGGAACTACCAAGTATAGCTTTGAAAAGGGTGGAATTTCTAAGGCAATACAATCAAGCCAAGGTTGAGGCCTTATACCAGTTTGTCTTCCTCGATGAAACTTGGATATTTCAAAATGGGACCATAGGTCGCTCTTGGCAAAATGGAAACCAAAAAAGCGTGAAAGCTATTAAAACAGATGGTAAAAGGTATGTACTTTTACACAATTTGCACTATAAAATTTAAAACTAATATATTTTAGATACATTATATTACATGCTGGAAATGAAAATGGGTTTATTGAGGGTAGTGAAGCGATATTTTCTTCGAAAACAAAATTGAGCGATTACCATGGAGAGATGAACCAGGACAATTTTTTGAAATGGTTTCAACATCAGTTATTAGAAAAATTGGAGAGTCCATCTATGATTATACTGGATAACGCCCCTTATCACAGCATGATATTGAACAAAGTGCCCAACAATGCATGGACAAAAAAAAAATATCCAAGACTGGTTGACAAATCAAATCATACCATTTTTAAACACAATGTTTAAAACAGAGCTATTGAGTATTGTTGCTCGGTACATAATGCTTCTTTATTATATATATTTTGGTCGACAGTTTATATTTCTTTTGTTTATTCCTATTCTTAAAATAACTGCTTTTTTAGAAACAAACCACCTAAAATATACGTGATTGATGAGTTGGCGGAACAACATGGGCACAAAGTTCTTCGTCTGAATCCTTACCATTGTATATTTAACCCTATTGAGTTAATTTGGGGCATAGCAAAAGGTTACTATAACAGACATATTGGTAGAGATGGTAACAGTGAAAAAGACTGTTTGGATATGTGGAACGAGGCTCTACAAACGGTTACCTCAGACATGTGGAAAAATAGTGTTCGACATACTGAGCAAGAAATTTTTAAATGGTATGAAAGAGAACGAATTTTTGATCGACCAGACATCGAACCTTTAATAATAAACTTTGAGAGTGATGAAGATTCAGATTCAGACAGCGCTGAAGAAAGAAACTCCGACTAACTTTATTGTACAGAAAAAGCTTACACCAGTAGCTTACCTAATTTTAGAATGCATTTTTCTGTATGAATTCTGTAAAATAAATACCATGCATAAAATTTGGAGGACCCCATTTGGATTTTTATTCAGTACCTTTAAGCTATCAATTAAATATGGTAGTTTCATAGTGTCATCTGATCAATAATTGTCATACTTAATGATTATGCAAGTACAGATCTATAATTTTATTATACTATTATTTTTGTTCTCATTTGAGGTTAATATTGCTTATAAACCTAGATATGTAAATAATAAATTTTATTATTTTACAAAAAGTTTGGCAACAATGTAAATTTTTCAACACACCCACCTTGATGACGTGCACGCCACTTTGTTTGGCGTTGACTATACATGAGCAGCCGCATCCAAAATGAAATTATAGAATGTTGTGGCGAAGAAATCTTGGATGCAGTTTCAAGCCGCGTCAGGCAAAAGTCAGTATTACAGTATTATATTTGACGAAACTACCGACATTAGCCATATATCACAAATGTCTATCGTATTGCGGTATTGTTATCGAAAATATATTTACGAGAACTTCATGGGATTTGTGGATTGCTACTCAGATTTTTATGAGGATACAATGGAGCCCAAACCCACAGGTCAAATTCTTGCACAAGAGTCAAGCATTTCATTAGAACCAATAACTTAGACTCAAAACTATGTGTGAGCATTGATACTGATCCGTATAACCTGATCTTAGATGAACAAAAGAGCGCTGTAATGGAATTGCAAAAATGTTTGCCAAATTATCTAAAAAGCCCATGCCCAAATCATGCCTTGAATCTTTCGATTTCAAAAAGCAGCAGCGTCCAAGCAGTAAGAACTACTGTAGGTAGGTATACCTAATGAAGGAAGTAATTGCGTTCTTCAAAGCATCCGCTAAAAGAAATACAGTACTAAAAAGAAAACTAGACGGATATCAAATTCATAGGACGTGCGAAACACGATGGACCGAGAGACATGACTCCGCGCTCCAATTTGAAAGCAAATTCGAGAAAATTGTAGAAGTGCTAAATATTATATTAAATTGGAAAGATCGCGAAGCTTCTTCAAAAGCGGAGTATTTGAAGACTGCCACTACTTCCACCCAATTTATCGTATCACTAAAGTGTTTGTGTGATATATTAGCTTTAACAGTCAACCTGAGTAAGACTTTACAATAAGATTTCACAATCAAAAACAATTGACAATACGCTGTCAAACTCATAGTAAATATTATTTCAGTTGTAAAAGAAAGACGCGAAAATAATGAAAAACACTTTAGAATACTATTCGCATCAATAATTAAATCACACGAAACCCTGGGTATTGAACTGACTGTGCCCAGAATAACGAGCAGGCGGACCGAACATAGTTACGTCTGGCAAGGAAAATCATTACAGACTGAACCTATATGTCCCTTTGCTAGATAATATATTACAGGATTTGGTATACCGGTTCAATGAAGAATCTTTGAATATCTACAATTGTAATATTTTCTTTGCATCAGTATTTAATTCAAAAACTGACAACATCTAAATATTTGCATGGACTAAATAGTAATGAAAACAAAAATTTAGTAAGTACCAGATTAAAAGCAGAATTTGACCTCTGGAAGTCACGTACACAAGATATTATAGACAGTGGAATGTCACTGTATTTATCACGTGATGAGAACATTTCCGCTTCAATTAATAGATGCCTACAATTATTAATTTCATTGCCGGTAAGTGTTGCGACGTCTGAAAGAAGTTTCTTCCATCTAAAGAGGATGAAAATTTGGCTGCGCTCCACTATGCTACAAGAGCGATTACTGGGTTTAGCTCTTTTGTATACCTATGCATAGGCATATTAAAATAGTCGTGGATCCAATCGTAGATCGGTTCGCCAGCAAAAAGAATAGGCGCCTTGATTTTGTAATATGATAACACCTGCACTTTGCCTAAGGTTGTCTCTCAAATCCATCTTCCTTCTGTTGGCCAATAAATAAGAAAGGAGATATAGTTAGTGATTTACTTACGTTTAGACCACCACGGTGACCTTTTCAAGAGTATCCAATCGAAATATTCGGTTTTATTTATTGGCCAGCAGATAGATATAAAAGTCTGTTCAAATTCTATTCAAATCAATTTCTAAGCTAATGTAATGATTGATTCATTTTTAGACTGTGAACACAGTTTATATGTTTTTGTTTTTTGAGACTGGCTAAGAGAATGCAATGAATAATTTTTGTTTTTTCTCATGATCAAGAATTTTATTTTAATTAATTTTAATTTCAAAAGCAATAAAAGTTGTACGTATTTTCTACAGAAATTGCTGTAACAAATTCATATGTCTGCGCTCAGTTTGGCTTGGACAGTTCTTTGTGCTCCTTGTCCCACTAAGCTACAGATCCATATGTTATCATAAGTCTAATGGCCATGGTATAGAGCCAAAACATTTGTTTAGGCATCATTCCCTAGTTCGCTCCACAGACCCTTCGGCAGTTCCATAGCGAGATCCTTGCCTTCCTAAGGACTGCTTCCAGATTCGTATTCTAGTTTAGTGTATCATCTAAGATGATTCCCAGATATTTCGCCTCTTTTGCAAACGGTAGATTTTCACCTTGGATTGTTGGAGGTTTAATCCCGTCCAGTTTTCTGTTTCTGGTGAAAGGTACAATGACCCGGTAGAGCCCCCGTAATCACTCTTGATTCAGGAGAAGCGATGTCCAAAAATGCAGTTTGATACGAGATACTGTGTTGCCTTGTATGCTTGTAAGGTTAGATGTGTCAATCAAGCTTGTCCTAGCGACTCCAAAAAGTCTAGCTCAAATCATCCTGTCAAGGATAATTTGTAGACGTAGGGCCGATTTCACCAACATTCATATTATGGACCAATAGGAAAATACCTTATCGAAATGCAATTTGACGGAAGCTGTCAAAGGTCTCAGAATATCAGTGATTTCTATTAAAATGTTGAATAAAATCGTGAAAATTCGAATTTATTATACACAAGACCACTTTTTGATTCCAACATGATGCTTTTGTAGAGAGAAAACAGGACAACTTTCAAGTATTTTTATTTATGTTATAGGGATACATTTGACCATCCGTTATCCCCTCAGCGAATCTGAATGGGAGAAATCATAGGTCGATTTTATAGCTGTTAAATTTGGCAGCAGGTTTGGTCGTTTGTTAATTCATGGCAATCTCGAAATTTGTTAAGTTCAATATACTGTGTGTGTGATTTGCAAGAAAATAGAATATAAAATGTATTCCAACCAATTCCTCATCTCTCTTTACATCATAATAGTAATCATTTGTTATAAATTCATTCTTCAAAGCAATCAAAACAGTATGGTCGTCCCCATCCTAACACCGATATGTGTAAAACATGTTAATCCCTACATCTCCGAGATGCATAATGCAATTACTGTAGACATGGACCTAAAATTATTAGTAATTACTGAAAAATAAGGGCTAAAAAGTAAATAGTGATAAAATAATGGTGGTTAAGGTTTTTGACTGGTGACTGGTGGGGATACAATACAGGGATGGCGACGTTAGACGATACATTGATGTATCGAAAACATCGATACATCGGACGTAGAACATCCATCCATCTTTACGCATCGATGGTTTCATGACGATATATCGATATCGAGAGGAATCATAAACATCCGTAACCGTATACCCCGAGTCTATCCTTAACTGTGCTATCATCTCTAAGCGAGGACTGGTAGCTTCGAAATTGAAAGGCCAGAAAGCTATTTAGGTGTTTAGTAGTATTTGAATATTATCATTACAGACGAGCACTGAGCCACTGAGTGGCCATTGAGCACTGTAGTCTTTTCTTCATTCTGTACTTCCCCAAGGGATAGAATAAAATAGACTGAAAACAGCGCGTTTAATGATTTTCATTTCTCAGAGAAAGATTTTCCCCTGCCGGCCCATGACATCGTTTCGAAATATGTCTGGAAACGCTATAAAAATAAAAGTGAATACATAAAGCCTACTTACCTATTTCAGACAAAAACAAAAGCAACTGCCATGAGTGCGTGGAAAAAACAAAATAAGGAGAGATCTAAAATAAGGAGTTATTGAAGGCCTAAAATAGATAGGCGCTAATAATTCCTGGCCGTATTTGAATATCTAAGCAGCCACAGTAAAACAAAAATAAGACTTGGAATTAGTAAAAAGTTTATTTCGACAGTGGGCAGAGTTTGCTCCACTGGGACGAAGTGTTGAAGGATCCCACAGAATTATGTGTCACCTGTCGATATGGTTAGTTTTAAAATATCAGGAGATAATCAGCTGTTATTCAAATCAGTGTATATATTTTGTGATTCAAATAACGTCTAATATAAATATAACCTAGAATATGTACTCAGAGAAAAAATAAAAATATTGCAAATTTCTAGTTTTTCTGCAGGTTTTAGGTTTGCTGGTAGCTCTACGACATATATTTGGGTATTTCTTAATCGCTGTAAGTATAGTGTGGATGTTTGTTAAGTTCCTGAACAACGAAAAATATTCAACTTTATGGATGTATGGATATTAAAATACCAGAACGGCAAGTAAATGAATGAATGTTTGGAAACGAGCAATATCTATGAACTTTTTGGTAGAGCCAGTCATCAAGCAGGTGCTTAATGGCTATCTGCAAGAGGTTTATAGGAAAAAACACCCAGTAGATGATCTTGAATCAGTAAAACTGCATATCAATTGAAGAAAATAATATAAACATTAATAAAAAATCAACAGTAGTAATTAGATCATGAATTTTATTCAAAAATGGAACATTTGGTTAAATTTTGATTGAATTATATGTAATTTCTTAATATTCAATAAGTTGATGATGATTCAATGACAAGATGTCATCTCATACTTTGACAGTATTTTGTTTTCAACATTTCATAGCTATTGGTTGCTAAAATTTGTTGATTGGAACTTGAAGCTCATTTGCTGTATTTGACGGGCTGTTACCCTATAGGTGGAGAATAACGGACTGTTGTTGGTGAAATTGGCCCGTAGTATACTTGAACTTTAACAAAGGTATACTTAGTTCAAATCTGAAGATAACTCGCATTTTTTGCCGTTTTCAGCACAAAGGGGTTATTTGCAGCTAACATGAAATCGAGAAAGAGGCGTATAGTTTGATCCTCTAAAAAAACTGGGTAGATTCGTTAGACAAAAGTGTGAGATTAAAAAATTATAGTATGTTGCAGTCAAAGAGATTTGCGAACGAGTAGGAAAAATGACATTAATTTCCTCGGCATCAATAACCAAATACGGCCAAAAATTGCTGATCCCATGTTGTGCTCAGCACATCAGAATTAGCGGTATTGGTTGTGTCGAAGACCAGCGGCAGAACTGTCCCATGTCCAACCTTTTCAGGAAAAATTTAGGAAGAGATATGCAGCGGTATTTTTTTAAAATACCTACTGTAAATTTGCACATTTTCAACCCATCTTCGACTGGACCTTCCACCAAGTGCTTTAATTAGAGCCTCTGTTTTTTGTTAAGTAAGGTGATAGAGAGGTGGACAAATCGAGAGCTTCTGGAGTACGTCTAATATCACAGCTTTATTAGCGACAGGGACCTCCCAGCTTACGTCACGCAACTGTGAAATAAGATCGTTCAGTCTTATGGTGAGGCTCATTGGTTACTCCTGATATCACGAGAGCGTTTGATCAGCTGTGGCAGGGTGTCCTCTTATGCAAACTTCCATCATATGGCCTCCCAGAGATGCTTTCCAGATGACTTCCTCCCTGGTCGCAAGATATCCGTCAACGCGAGTGTCCCACAAGGATCGGCCTTGGCTCTTACATATCAGCGACCTCATTTCTTGTACGATCAATCGGGCCCAAAGCGTTGCTGATGACTGCAATCTACATGCAGCGACTTCCTCTTTA